TCAAAACCGATCTCAATGAGCTTTACACAAGATGTAGTAACTCAGTTACATTTTAAGTATTGAAATTAGTTCTCCAAAATAACGTTATAAGCAGTGCTGCTTCAGGAGTATATTTTAATCTGCTAACATCTGCATATAATTGTATTTGGTGCCAGGATCATTCAAACAGTGACCGAGAGGTACCACAGGACTCAACTAAACGACGCAAAGAGGAAAATGGGACAAGTACGTATTTCTTTGTGTGTGTGCGAGTGTGAGGCTTTGACTTCTTCTGAATTACAACTTTCTGTTGTGTTTTTAGCTGGCTCTTCAAAACATAGTAAAAGTGAAAGTCCTTCTGATTCCCCTCGCTTAAATGAAAAGGAAAAGGAGAAGAACAAGTCAAAATCTTCAGGAAAAGAGAAAGGCGATTCAATTAAAGCAGAAAAGATGGAGAAGAGCTCCTCTGGTAGCAAAAAGGTAAAATAAGCTATTCGAATTTTGCTGATTTGATTTTCTTGACAGAACAAGCTGATTCTTGTTTTTTTGTAGATTTTATTGCTGCTTTATGGCCTAAATTAAAAAGATATGCTGTGAATGTGTAGGAAAATGTGTCTGGAAATTCTGGTATCTTGTGATTCTAAGTATTTCAGCAGTCACTCCTGGCAGGATAAATTGGAGGCATAAGCTCATTTTGGCAGTAGCTGGGAAAATTCAGAACTTATACTTTAGTTTTTGAATAGTACAGACTGTTTTGGTGAGTAAATATGTGAAAGCAGGGTTAATTTACATGTACGCTAGTCTGCTTGTATTCGGGTTCTTCAAGTGCATGTGTCAGCACAGCTTTTTTTTGTATGTATGTTGTAGTCATATTTGTGAAACACAAAACAATAGTTCCCAGCTCTAAGTCTGTAGTGACAGCAGTTATCATGCAGCTGTAAGACGCAGTTAGAAGCAGGTTACTGTTATTCTGACTGATGGGGTTTTTTCAGCTGTGGCCAGTTGCAACTTGAAATATGTATAATCCTTCTGATCAGACTGTACAGTGTATGCTTTAATAAACCTGTGGGGTTTTTTTTAAAGGAATCAAGACATGATAAAGAAAAAACAGAAAAGAAAGAAAAACGAGACGGCACTGGAGGGAAAGAAGAAAAGAAACAATATCCTTTTACATATTAAATTTCAGAAAAATACAGAAAATTACCTTTTTTGTTGTATGTAGTAAAACACATTTTTTTTTCCCCTTAACGCTGAATCTACTCATAAATCTTCAGACAAGCACAGATAATGAAGATTGTTCCAGTCAAGGTAACAATTTTTGTGATTTGTTCTGACTTTATCTCCTGTGGCTTCTTTTGCCTGGACATACAAAGGATATACAAGCAAAACACCCTGCGTGTGAAAGGGCCACAATAAGCCAGGGTGGGGTTTTGGGGAATTTAAAATTTTTTTTTAAATTTTGTCCCAGGGAAAAAGATCTTTCCCCATCTTTGCCATAGAGATCATGTAGGTGCTCAATTTTTTTTTTTTTCCAGAAGAAAGTGGGAGCCTGGGGGGTGGGAGGGAGAGGGTAATCAGCAGTGTTTGGTGTAGGGGCATATTTAGCACCCTTTTCAACAAAGGTTGCCATGCAAAACCAAAGGTCGGTCAATGTGATCCCAGTGGTCATCCATCTTGATGTTCTAGCTGTCAGTTAAGAAAATCTTGCCTAATACGTTGAAAACTCTGTTTTTGTATCCTTTTCTTATTTTATCTTTAACAAAAGCACTAGCTTTAAACCGAAAATGTTTCATAGTGTAGTAAGTCAGTTCTTTCTCTTAATCTTTTTATCTGCTCAGATTTGAGGAGGAAGAAACCAAAGGAAAATTTTCACATGGAGGAATTGATTATTTGCAGAAAGAAAAGAAACGTCAGAGTATATTTTGAGTAACACATAGAAACCCCAGGGAGTATTTTGAGTAACCCGCAGACACTACAGAGTATATTTTGAGTAAATATATAGACTTTTTCAGACTAAAGCTTTTAGAAAAATAAATTGTTCTTTGAAGCTGATAGTGTTCTGAATCTTTTTTTCAGGCCTATGCAAGTATGTGGAGACTTAAACTTAGTTGTAGGGATTTGAGGGTGTTTTTTTAATCCACTTCTACCTCTAGCCATTTTAAGAGTCTTGGAACGTTTTGTTTCCAGTTACTTGGGAAGGAAAATGCCTTGGTGAACTTAGTTAGTTCACCTGACCTGGCCAACTTGAATCACATTCTGCTACCAATCTTTCCACATAAAGCAGTGGACACTTTCACATTTTAAGAAGTATGTGTTGGGTAAACGTGAAAACAACTGGTAGTCTTCAACAAATATAAAGGAATATGGCTTCTCTCTCTCCGTTTACAAATTGTCCAAGTGCTTTATAATTATGTTTGTTCTCTATTTAGAATTAATGGATTGTCTTTGTTAAAACTTTGCATATTCTGTGAGCACTCAAAGTGAACACAAGCAGAAATGAAGTAGAAACAATTTTTTATTCAGTCACACATTTTGGTTTGAGATTATTTGCTTTCATGGAGTAACACTGTTGTGACTACTCAACAACATATAGGGCAGGCAGAGATTTCCTTTTTATCAAGCTGATACAGAGAGAGGGAAGACAACTCTTAACTGCACAAGTCCTTCTTTGTCTCGGATTATGAAGAAGGATCGATGAGGCTGAGGGTTGTTTTCATTACTTTCTTGGCAGGTCTAGAAAGTGATGCTGCCGTTCACAAACACGATTTCTTATGAATTCCATTTAGAGATACGGGGGTGGGAGGTTGGGGCAAGGAATCTTTACTGTCAGAGTGGTCAGAGACTGTATTGGTTTGCCCAGAGAGTTGGCAGAGCTGCCATCCTTGGGCTGTTCAAAACCCAACTTGGCAGGCCACAGCCCTGAGCAACTTGCTCTGGTTAATTCTGCTTTTTGAGGAAGGATGTTGGTTGGGCTGGACAGTCTTCAGAGGTCCCTTCCACCCTCATTGTTTTTGGAATTCAATTACATGGGTATCATGTTTGAGAATACTTAAGGTGATAGTAAATGGCACAACTTACTGGAGAGGTTTATTGGCTGTGGATTCTCAAATTAACAGTGCTTTTGTAGTGGCTGTACTTGCTTCAGGTGTCAGAGAGACTGTGCCATAGTCCCAGATTGTTCTGTTTGCCTCTGTCTAACTAAAACGATGTGTGAAAGGTGTAAATGCTTTGCTGTTGGGAATTCTTTCCCAAGGCCTAAGGATTATAGGGTGGCTTGTGTTAACACTTGAAGTGCAGTGCAGTGTGTGTGCATCAACACACTTGAGAAGTGTGCTGATGAGGGTCCAACAAAACAGACCAAAACCAGAATTAGAATTCGGAAATCTTCCAGTCATCTGGAAATGTCTTCTGGAAAAAGTCTCCACATGTGAACTGTAATCTCAGAGCAAAGGGGAGGTTATTGGAAAAGGGTCTTGGGAGTTTTATTTGGCGACGTTTGAAGCTGAGGGGAAGTGTGTGGAGGGGTTGTGGCTCACGAAGCTCGTGCTGATACTGCGTGCTCTTTGGAAGGGTGTTGGTAGAAAAAGGGATAGGTGTTCAGGTTATTCCCTCCTAGTACTACTTCTTTTGTTTCATCTTCTTAAAATAATAGAAGGTGCTTCCATGAATAGCTTCCAAAGAGAAAATTATGAGCGCTCACTGGAAAGAATTTACTGGAATGTTTTTGACTCTTTGTCCTTCCTAGCCATTACTGTGTGATTTCTGTGGGTAGATACAAGGGGATTCCCCCCCCCCCCCCCCCCGATTTCTTTAATTGTTACTTTTTGGGGAGAAAAAAAGCAGTCTTGGTAGACAAAATTCACTACTGAGGACTTGCAGCTTCTTTAATAGTAAAATGTGAAGTATTATCTTGACCAGCAATTCAGTATAAAGTGAGGATTGTCATCAGTTACGAAAACACAGCTGTGGTTTTATGTCTCCATCATAATTTAAGCAACAAGTGCTTAGGTAAGCATCAGTCGCACAGTGAAAGTCACATCCAGCTACGTAGGGGGCCGAACTGGAGCATCTGGCCTAGGGTACTGACAACACCGCACTGTTTGAGTAGCAGAGTGTGATGAAAACGCTTTTCCACAGCACGGTTGTGGAATCCAATCCCGTGTTCCTGTTTGTTAAATCTCTTATAACATCCTTCCTAGTGTACAACATCTGACTGACTGCATTTATTTCTTGCCTAATTTAGAGATAATAACTTTCTGAGGTGGGTGTACTTCTAAAAGTTTTTACCTTCACAGGTGACCACTTGTTTCTTATTTGTACCTTTTAAATTAGCGTTTCACCACCTACAGTGCAGTGCTCACATTAACATAGTTCTTGCTGTGGATTAAACCGGAGTTAGGGGATGAATGATGAAAATAATTTTATTTCCTCCCTCATTCTTTGACTTGTGGATGGAATAAAATGCTAAGTTGTGGTATTCATTTGAACAGCATCGAATTCCACTGACGTATGCCTTCATTGCAGGTGAGATTGAAATGGAAGATATCCAGCTGTGACCAGAAATGTATTTTCCAGAGTATAGATTGCACAGAAATTTGTGAATGAAGAGGACCCATCTGCATCTCCTTAAATTATTTAGTTCTCTGCTTTATTTCCCCATGCTGAGGATTTAATTGTTGAGTTGTACATTACTGTATTTTAACTTGTTGCTTAGTTTCTTACACATTTATTTTCAGTACCTGGCTGAAAGTGTTACCTATTCCATATTTTAGCACAATGTGCTGCAAACAAACAGTTGCCATAGCGCAAATGAGGTTTCACGTGTACAGAGTTCCACTTTAGGTTGTCAGAAATACTGCCTGAGTTTAGTAGTTCTTTAAATCTGAAATGCATTCTTTTAGATGTTTGAAAACCACAAATAAACAGTTATTGAACCTTTTTGGATTTACCTCATTTAAACTCGGTTTTTATTTATTACTTGGCCTGTTTTTAATATCAATGACTAAAAAAAAGAAGTCAAGTGGGAGCACTGTTTTCATGCAATGCTTAGGGATTATTTGTATATTGTGTACAACGTTGACTTGTTTAAAGAAACAAAGAACGAACCCTGCCCTTCCATCCCCACCCAAACCTGTGCTCAGTTGTCCCTTGCCACACCTTTTGTTTGTCATGTTGTTTTTAGATTGATTGGAAATGCTCTCTTCAAAAGTGAAATAAATTTCAATTACAGCTACAGAAGCTTTGTATTGCTGAACTTTAGTCTGAGAAGTTTCACAATGACATTTTTAAAAAAAAAAAGAAAAAAAAAGAATTTTTTTATCTGCTGAATTCTACCAGTGTAACCTTTTTTCTAAATAAACAATAGTTTTCTCAATGGGTCGTAAATCATTCTGTGCGTGGTCACTTTATTGCTTTATTTATTGTAGCTGAATTTTTGTGTTAGCTGGGATTGCAGGAGGGTGTTTCTGTCCTCACAAGCCCTCTGAACCTGCGTGCTGGTCGGATGCAGAGGGTTGGTTGCACAGCGTGGTGCCTGCTGTGAAGTGACACATGTGCTGTGCTTCTCCAGTGGATTTGAAAAGCTCGGGGTTTGCCTTCCTGCATTCAGGCAAGTTTACGTCTCTTTTGAGGCATTTGTTCCTCATCCACAGCTCATTAAGATCTTTGGTGCCTTCCCCCCCCCAGTCAAATTAGAGTGACTTAGGTGTCTTGAAGATGTATTTTAGTTTGACCAGTTTAGTTCAATCCCTGACAAAAAAGGACATGACGTGGTAGGTCACTTTTTGGTGAAGCTGCCACCTGAGATGTTCACAGGGGCAGGAAATGTTGAGGTCTGGAAGCCTTTAGGTCACGTTCATGTCTAATTTCCACACACCCCCATGCCCGGAGGTGTGGATTTCCTTCAGTAAATGGATCATTAGCTTGTTGCAGCTAGCAGATGTGGGTTGTGAAAGAATGCCTGTTGGTGGCCTTTGGAACGGGAGATTCCAGTGTTTTGTCTAGAGGCTTTGCTCGCTATTTAGTGATTAAAAAAGTGTAACTGGAAGCTGAGCTTTTTTGGCCTAGGTGCAGCAGTTTAAAATCCGAATCAATACGTATTCATACAAACAGGAGCTGCTGTTACAGCTCGATTCCTGTTAACTTTTGGAGGTGGCCGATCTCTCGTGCTCTTTCACTGCACCCAATTCTTGCTCCGGGGACTGCAGAACCAATTGAAACTTCAAGTGCAATTGCTCCTTTGTTTGCCCAGAGCCCTGTGAGACAGCCAGCTTTCTGTAAGCCTCAGCTTAGCCCTCCTTTGCTTCTGCAGACAGCAGGTATGGTAGAAGGAGAAGTGGTGACCTGGAGGGAGAGAGAGAACTTCTCCTTTTGGTGCCATTTACATATCAAACCAGTTGAATTGTAGCATCAGACTGGACCAAGTCGTTCCTCTTCAGTCTTTGTGTTTATTGTCTCTTCTGTATCTTAAAAATTTAAATTCTGCTCCTCATCCGTTTGGTAAGGATCTGCTTTCTTTTCAGAACTGATGCAATAAAACTCTGCTGGGGTGTGCAGGAGACGATCTGATGCCAGTGGGGACATTTCACAATATTAAGACTGAAATATTTACAGAACTGTGAAGCCTTGCAGCCTTAGTCCTCATGCAGCTTCAGAAGATCACGAGCAGAAGTAGTGAGAGCTGTTGCAGCCGCTGCCCAAAGGCTGCAGTGAGATTACCCTCTATTTTTTTTGAATGGCACAGCAAATACAAAGCCAATCATAGTCCCTTTAATTTGAGCAACTATTTTAAAAGGCGAAGTCACGTGAGTTAAGGACCAGTTTCCTGGAGCAGGTGGGAATCTAAGTAGCTTGAATTATTTTAGTGCAGTAAAGCATCTTGATAACAAAGACAGACTTCATGTAGGTACAGCTTCTCCCAGGACTGTAATGTGTTCCAGTCCTTGTAAGACTGGAATTATTACATGAAGGAGTGTGTTCTCAGTTTTCACCATCTCTAACAGGAAAAGATGGTCATGTTTTTCGAGGTTACACTTCCAGATTGACAAGCAGACGACTCATTCTGCCCGCTGGACTGCTGTGGTTTGTTCCGCTGCTGTCAGCACACCACGCTGGTTGCTGCTGCCTTCATTCTGCTTCCCTCAGCTGAGCGCTACGCGTGGAGCAGCAGTGACTCCCCAAAATGCTCTGTTGGCTGTGCCTTCCCAGAAGGAGGTTCACTGATGCTTATTAGTGACATTAGTACACATCCACCGAGTAGACTTTTAGTTTACACAGGGACATCAGTCCTCGCTGAGCAGGCCTGCGAAATCGGGTTTGCTGACGTAGAAGCATATGAAATACCACTATGTAGAAGGAAACTAATTTTCATTGATTGCTCTGAGACGGCTGGATCGATTTAAATGCTCAAATGTGAACTCTTAAATAAAAAGGCACAAGGAAATAGGGTGATGTTAATTTAAATAATATTTTAAATGGTAAGTTAATTGCTGTATGCTGTGTTTAAACTGTTTTGCTCTATGTGGTGCATCATGCTTGTATTGCTTTTTCCTGTCCCGCTTTCCCCCTTGTCCAAAAACATGAGGAGCTTGAGTTTCCAAGGGCTTTCCTTGGTGACAGACAGGAATCTGCATCAGCAGGTGAAGCTGAGGCAGGCAGCGTGGTGTGGCTCAAGGGTTGGTGTTTGTTCAGGATTTGCCTGCAATGACTGTTTTAAACTAGTAAAGTGTGTAAGGTACATTCTGTTCTACAATGGTAGTGTGCTTAACAGTGTTGTGCCTAATGAAACAGCATGAAGCTTTAGCTGGTGCTTAAAAGAACTGATGGTTCACAAAATACGTGACAAACAGTGGGCAAAATGTTACGGTGACAAAGACCTTTCGAATAACTACAACATCAGTTTTTTTCTCCGTACAGAACTTTGTTTCTCTGTTTAAAAAGATGTTTTACATGCCTTAGCCTGTGCCCAAAGCGATGAGCCTGGGTGTTTTCAGAGGTGAGGGGGACCTGAGCTATTGCCGTGCCTGAGAGCATGGGACTGTTGACACTGAGGCAGATGATGGAGCGTGTGCCCACTTGACATGACTGCCTTGTAAGGAGTTGTAAGTGGACAGATTTTTAATTGCAGATAATGATCTTGGCCTGCAGGTACTGCCCACAGAGCAAATGAATTTGATCTATTCCCAAGAGTGTTTAGAAATAGATTTTTTGCATGGATTCAACCTTAACAAAAGCAAGCCTATAGCTAATCAAATATTTGCTGACTATAATGATAAAAACCTAACGTTTTTGTATCAAGTATCAGTGCTATTAAACACAGAGCCTTATTTGTCTTAAGTATTGTGGGGGTTTTTCTGTTTGGTTGATTGTTTTCTGTTTGGGGTATTTTTGTTTGTTTTTAATATAATCCGTTTAATATAATCCTACAAAGGAACCAAAATTGAGTATCCCTGGTGCTCTGTGAAGGTAAGTTTGTAATCCCAGTAATCTGGGATTGGGGACAGAGGGGTGTCATCTTGCTGCCTGTATTTGAAAGTACTAAATATGGAGAAATTGTAGTGCTTAATGGACTTGGTGAGTAAAATGCTTCTGATTAGCTTTGTCCTTATTAATTAGAGGTTATTTCTGATTGAATCCGAGAAGATTATAAACCTTGCCCTGCACTGCAAGAAAGACACAGACAAATTGGGAAGGGAATTGAGTAAGAAGTACCCAGCTAATTAGAGATGAGAAAGGATTACTGAAAAGGAGAGCAACCAAGTGAAATCCTCAGGTGCTTTTAATTAACTCATTAGGGTAGTCCAAAATGAAATACTTCCATCAAAGTCACTCTGTTCCGTGGGGATTCACTGGAGTGCAAATGAGGTGAGGCTTTGGTTGATGGTGTGTGTGGCCCCCAGCTGGGGCTGCAGCAGCAGCTCACACCGAGATGGGTTCAGCTGGGCATGAAAGGTCACCCTGGGGTCTCTGAACATGGCGTAATCTCTAAACAAAACAGCAGCCTTTCTGTCAGCCCCGACACCTAGAAGCGAGTTGAAACAATCAAAATTCATCTCTGAGGAACCACACACCTGCCCTGGCAGGAGCGTTGGTCCCTCGCCTGCAGTGCCGCTGTGGCAGAAGCAGCGTGGTGCTTGCACTGGCCCCGTGAGCAGCAGTGGCGGAGGAGAAGGGACACGGGATGGTTGTGCTGACCCTGTCACTGGTGTGGCAAGTCCGGAGATGCACCAGCAGTCAGAAGGAAATGACTACACTTTGTGAATGCGTGTGCCACAGCTGAGATAGCTCAGGTGTGCCCTGCAATGTCCTGACTGCCTGCGAGGGGCCATGGGGACAGACTCTTACGGTGTGGGGGAAGGCTGGAGACCTTGAGTGGAAATAGGGGGGTGGTCAGTGAGTCTCAGCGGGCTGGGGAAGGTATGGAAAGAGGGGACCTAAGAAGGGGACGATGTTTCCAGAGCTGGCCAGGCTGCTGGCCGTGAGTGCCACCGGCGTGCCCGTTAGCTCACTTCACTGACTGCGAGAGAGCTGTGGAGAACAGCCAGGGCTGGGCAGGGAGGGCAGCCCTGGCAGCGCACCCTGCTGCACTCCTGGTCTATGGCCCTGGGGAAAACCCGGCACAAAGCACCCATTAATTAAGCCCTGTTTCTGGTGTGGCTTGTCTGATGTGATATTCTAATTGCTCTGTGTAATCGGCAGCATCTGTGATGGGTCACAGCTTCAGCTATTTTATAATAAGCTATTTTTCCTGAATATAGCAAACTTCCCTTGTTTAAAAGGGCAGGGGAATATTAAATAAATACCATCTATATTTGTTTGCCTCAGATCAAACTGTGGCTCTTACATTAATTTTGTAGGTTTTTGGTAATTAGCCTGCTCAGCCCACATTTGGAATTCAAATCCAATATTTGTTGAAAAGCTTCGCCTGATATTAAAATCTGCTCCCTGAGCACATAACAAACACCTCTCCCTCTCCGAAAATGCCAGCCCTGCACTGAAAGTTGTCACAGCAGCATGGGTGGAAAGTGTTGGTTAAATTGCGATGGGCAAAACCAGGGTGCTGTGGGGGTAGAAGGGGGGT